GCTCAGGAACTGACCAATAAAACGCCAAGCGACAAAACAGGCCGGTTGACCACACGATTGATACGCAACAAAATCTGTACGACTATCGGTCTCCTCTTTCTGGGTTTCATTAGATACGCGTACAATGTGATTTTCAATTACAGCATAAATTTGAGGGAAAATCACAGACGTATCAACGCCGCCGAGTAGATGCGGTGTGACAGTTGAGTCACATGTTCCACTGATGTGTTTCTTAGGACTAACCTACAAAAGCATTTTGCACTGACATTCGTCCCGTGGTTAACTACAGTTGTCAACACACAGACCGCGATTGAAGTTTTCTTGTGAAGTTTGGACAACAGTATGCAAACAATCCTATACTGCACGGAACTGGATGCTGCTTGCAGCCCGGTAGAGGCAGACTACTACATAAAACCGGCACGAAATACGGCGTCAGTCGCTAGTTGGTAAATTGTTCTGCTGATGCAAGGAATATGCGATATGCAAACCAAAACAATGGATTTCTGTCCCGGCAACTTTCCGTGTTGTGACTCTATGTGATCCGAAGTCAGCAGTGGTCAGCGTTTCACCCCGGTAATTCACTGATACCCTACTTATACAAACAAACACAGAGGCTGGGCATCCAGCCAACACCCTAACTCAGACGGCAGATGGATTAGTTCGTTCACACACAGAATTTGGAGATTGTTTGATACCGTTTTTTTTGACACCACTGGTGGCGCTCTTAAACTGCGCTTCGCTGATACTGTTATATCACACTGCGGTTACCACTCCAGTGCCTGCTGACAGGAAGAACTTACCGACAATGGTACACAAAAGCTGTTTTCCGAACAAGCGAGTGAGTACTTGAGAGATTAAAAGTTACAGCGGCCCCTCGCAAATTGAAGAGCAGTAATTCTTATTCATCCAGCCTCTCCACCAGGCGTTTTTGAACACCCATCGACATCGACCGGGTCTTATGATATGCCTGAATACTGGTCACATACGTTCGTGCTTCTGCGGCATGCATAAACACGCATCGGCTTTTGCTAATTTGATTGAATGATTGACTGGTCAGACAGCAACTGCTCGCACGACACTCCGCCCAGCCTCGCAAGGCCCGAATCAACGAATGCTACAGGCTGGTGAAGAACACTTTCGGGCTATTAATTTGATTGAATGATTGACTGGTCAGACGGCAACTGCTCGCACGACACTCCGCCCAGTCTCGCAAGGCCCGAGGCAATGATTGGTGCAGGCTGGTGAAGAACACTTTCGGGCTACACTTAGGTTCCATCCTAACATTCTTGAAACGCCTCATAGTCTCCTGGCAGTTGACGGTGTGTCGAGCCTCGCTGCAAGTGCGGACTCTGCGGCGTACAAATCCTCCCTTCAGGCATCCCTTCTGGGCGCTTCCATAGCCGCCCATGGCAGGCCTCCAAATAAAGTCATCAGTGCCACCAAATTACACTGGTCAGCCACCAGTCCAGCCGCCCTCGCAACCTCCTCGAAACACTCTAGGAAGGTTCGCACATACCCATTCTCATAAGGCTGCGGCTACGGGATCTTCATCCGTATCCTCGTCAACGTACCAAATGTAAGAAGTAAAATTCCTGAATAAATTTCCAATCGGCAGCAACCAGATGAATAAATCAGTTTAATTGCTTCGGGATTCGACATGACGGTCACGAGGTGGACGGTTTTGTTGGGAGCATGCTTATGAATATCCTGTTAGTACACGATTTGGTTGGATTCCATGACCCCGGCAAACGGCAACCGTACATTCTGCTGATTGTAGATGTGAAAGCTCTGCAAGCGCGTGGTGTAAATCCTCTGGAAAGGGGAAGTAGCGGGATCGGCTTTTTCATATAGTTTTGCTACGCGCTTTTTTTCTAATCAAGATGTGACTTGGTACATCATTCGCACTTCTCATGTTTGTGAGAGAGCATCAGCGTAGTTATCACTGCAGGCCCTAATCCGATCGTCCCAGAAATCAGTCAGACTTTAAAGGTGTCATCCCATTCTTCCTCCAGGAGACTAGTCCGTTGGCGGTGCATACAAAAATGTGGTTTTTGGAAGCGCCGAAATCATTGCAAAGTTGACTGAGATAATGAAACGATGAAAGTGAAAGGAGTACCAGAAACCTTCATAGTGACTCAGACGCACTCGATGCCGTTCGTTCTCAGATCAAGTCTATCTCTCGAACCGGCCAACACATTTAACCCACCACGACATTCAGCGCCACAGAGCAAATGAGCGTATTTTTGTTAATCAAGAATATTAGTCCGCGATCGTAACCCTGGAATACCTGAAAGCTACGGAAAGCATTAATATCTAGCAAAATGTGAATAAGGAAGCCGGTAAGCGTCTAAGCGAGTCAATCATTCAATCAATTTAGCGAAAGCCGATGAGTGTTCATGCACGAACGTATGTGACCAGTCATCTCATAAAAGCACGATCGATGTTGATGAGTGTTCACTAAGCGCCTAGTAGACAGCCTTGAACCATCTCAGATAGTGCCCTTTACATTGCGCCGGGCCGTTGTAAATTTCCCACTCGCACGCACTCACTCGGTTGTTCGGGGTACAGCTGTTTAGTGGCCTCAACGGTGAGTTCTTTGTGGCACCAGGCACTGGTTTGGGAACGGCGTTTTGATGTATTTTTGTTTAACTCCCAAAACGAAGTGCAGATTAAGAGTAAAACCGGTTGGTGGCGAAAACCTGTATCAAACGATCGCTAAATTCTGTGTAAACGAACTAATCAGGTTGCCGTCTGAGTCCGGAGTTCGAAAGATAGACATGTGTGGAACGTGCAAATCAACCGCCACACCGCAACTACTCAGTTGCGTTGATTCGTCTTTGATTTGTTTGTCTGCAATTTCGTATCAACCTTGTTTTACTTGAACACAAAATCGTACGCCTATCTAATGAAACCCCGAAAGGGGAGACCGGTAGGTAGCTGTTGAAGAGTATTCATCGGACTTATGTGTAGCAAACAATAGTAGGTTGCCAGTGTCGTAAGAAAGCGACTGCAAAAACAGAGGAGTTCAACTAACTCGTCAGATCGGGAGACAAAATAGCACCGTCCCGACGACTTCAACTAAGCACCCGATGAAGATGTGACTGGCTGTATGACAACTTACTGAAAGTTAGACTATGCGTCTCTAGTCCGGTTAGAGTGAACAAGAAAAAAATTGAATTTCAGCAATGTTTGAGTCGAAAGAATAACTGTCCTAACCGCGTTGAACGACCGGCCTGTCCTTATTCGTCCTGTGAATACATCGTGCAATAGTACGTCAGATTTGTGGAAGTGTCTTTATAAGTCCGCCAGACCTGAGAATCCGGACGGTTTTACCTGAATTCCTTCGGTTGATATCGAACAATTTCTTGACCGCTAGTCTGATGGAAAACACAACCCATGTTTTCTAACGGTAGCAGAACACGATACGGACCAGTTGCAATTCATTTTATTTTGGCAGAATCACTCAACATGTTGCGTGTCCGTTAGGAGCAGCGTTTGTGGATAGACTCGATGAGGGTTTCGGTCTCGTATCCGGCTTTGCACAGCTCCGTTAGATGAGCTGTGTGCTGAGCTACCTCTGGGACCTAAAGGCAGAGGGATAATGGGCTGTAAGCTGGGAAATCTGTCCGGGCATGCAAACGATATAATCACCACGCGTACGACGGGTCGAGGGTGATCCATGTCCTACACAGATTTGGACCAATGCCCAAGAATGCTATCAAAGGAACAAGGAAGTGTGTTTATACACGATTCACTCTAACGTATATCAACAGAATTGAGCATTCCCGAGAAAAAGTGACAGCTGTGCTACAGAGTGGAGAAGAGTGTCACTGAGCCCCCACTGAAGGTCGCGCGGATACTGGGCCCGAGATTAGAAAAAGTTACTTATGAGTGTTCTTGGCAAGTATCCACATATCTAATTTTCGGATATTTCGATAGGTCTTGATATAAAATCTTTCACTGTTAACAGAGAACATGCGAAATTCTTCAGCTACTTAGTAGACGGGTGAAACTGTGAGAACTCCACGAAACAAAGTTTCCTCGAAAATTTGCCAACTGAATACAAGCAACACCATTAACAATATCCAGACTTGCTGGTCAAATTTTGCTCAACGACACTCCTTAGCAGTGTTGATCACACGGATCCTACGTCAATACTGTCCCGTGTAGCTTCTGAAAATAATCAATCAGCCCAACGTGGTGATCGTTTTAGACTATCTTGGGGGTCACTCATGCCAGAGAGTGCAAGAGGGCCCTTCCAACGAGCGGAACAACTGACCTAAAACGGAAATGAATTTCACTAAACGGAAATGAACTGAACTGAGCTGAAATAAACTGAACTAAACTAGATTGAACAAGACGGATAAAAACCGCACTGGTCAGTAACGGAACAATGTTCCAAACCTAGTTCCTGCTTGATCGCTTCATGATCATTTTATGGACATGGCCATCTGGAAGAAGCATTACGCCGGGAATTGCAAAACACCCAGCCTTCATCGACTGATGTCACCTCTGCAGCTGAACTATTTTCATACGGGTCGAGGAAATCCTTGAGTAACCGGTACAAAATCTGTTACATTTTGGTGTCCCCGTGCAAAAACCACGGTTGCTAGTTGTATGCCTTCTTTTCTTTTGAAAAGACTTCCCATGAGTTTTGAATGCGTGCAGGGAAGCGTCAGTGTTGAACACGGATGCTGACAATGTTGATGATGTTGATGATGGAGATGACTGCCCTGGAGCGTGAAATCCTGAACATCTGTTTTATGTGTAGCAGTAGAGAAAGTGTATGTAGTACAGCGGTCACTGATTCCTCAGTAGTACGTGTCGTTCCATACCTCGTTTGTCTTACACTTAGTAAGGGTTTCATTGTTTTGGCTACATTGGATCCCTGCTGAAATTGGGTGAGCTGATTTATCTGCTTCACATAATCCCCCTCCAATATTATCTCTCTCCGGCGCGCAGAAGGGGAATGTCATGCGATGGCAAATACAGGGTGCTCCATGACGTACAACTTACTCCGGCAGAGGGCCTACTGGTGCGGGATGGGAAATGAGGTGATGGATTATTTGGCGTCCTGTAAGCGTTGTCAACTAATGAAGGGAGATACGCTAGGGGCAATCCATCCAACGGAACCTATTCCTGTCCCAGAAATGAGCGAGTTGTGGTCAGTAGACGTCATGGGCCCCTTTTCGGTGGAAACCATTGGGACTCAGTACATCGTGATAATGACAGGACACCTGTCGCGATGGATTGAGGCGGCAGCTATGCCTAATCAGCGGGCGACGACGATCAGCGGAGCGGTAATGCATCACACCTTGGCAACCATGGGGTGCCAAAATGATCCTTACCGATCAAGGGCCTTGCTTCGAGAGCGAAGAGATTCGTAATTGCTTGCAGAAGCTGAGCATCAGACGGCTAAGTATGGCACCATACCACCCTCAAACAGATGGCCTGACCGAACGCAACAACCGAACGATCAAGGAGTGACTGGCGGCAAAAGGATGCGACTGGGAAGTGAAATTGCCAATGCTCTTGCTAGCTCATCGTGTTTCCATACAGCCAACCACAAGCAATCTCAGTTTATGCTGATGTACGGCAGGCTCATCGTGTTTCCATACAGCCAACCACAACCAATCTCAGTTTATGCTGATGTACGGCGGGCATCCGCGCCTTCCGTTTAATCAGGAAATTTGGTTATGGCGGGGGACAGGCTTTTCTCCGGAGGAGCAAGAGTAAGAAAGAAGGAGAGCTCGAGAAAACTTGCCAACCGATCATAGGAAGACTAGGCAGAAAATGGCGAGTAGAAAGGCACGAACATCCTCCTTAGGCACGAAAGTCAGGCGAAAGCTGGGCCATGGATGGCAAGGGCCGTTTGTCCTTAAGACCAACGGGGGAACGCTTATACAATTCAGAATGTTCGGGGATAGAAATCAGTAAAGGGAACGCAGCTTCGCAGGTGGCATGATGCACCCGAAAAGTGGCCGAGTAGACCCGCTGCCGAGGCCGACCTGACGTAGGATAATGAAAATCGACAACACGCGACCCACCTTTAAATTGTGGTGTTTAATGGTGATACTACAGATGGGGAGGCACACGAATAGTATGTGTTGTTCGTGGAATTTTGCTTTGCATCTCTTGAAAAGGGGAGAGCTGTTGCGGAATTCGTGGTGCTGCTTTGTAACGTTTGCTTAGATTCGAGCTAGAAGGATTGGGTCAATAAATATCCAATGAAGTTCAAGAAGAAGCTTTCAGGAGAAGATGGATGTCCAATTTTTTTAAGTAAGATGTAAATGAGTGTTCTGCTTCCCTGCCAACTAGTCTGTAACCGGTCAGTTGGCAGTTTCTAATAAACAAATCTGCAGCAAATGCATTCTTCCTTTCACCGGGAGGTGAAAATGAGGACAAAAAAGTCACGTGTTGAAATACGGTGAAATTGCGAGTCAAAAGATGTCATGGAGAAATAGATTTGTTACTTGAGGAAAACCAATCTGTTTTGAAAATGAGTATATCTGATGGGATGCCTGTTATATTTCGATTAACTTTCAAATGTGGCGTCAAGTTTGAAAATATTTGATCAAGTATTTGAGGATGCATAGACCAAACTCAGCAGGGTAGCAAGTCCAGGCACTGGGGTATCCAGATCTAGCCAGTGTCATTCTTCTGGATAAGCTAGTTGTGTTTTGTATCTTCTGTGCTATGGTACAAAATGAACTCAGATTTATATGCGTCACCCACAAGTAACCCAGAGGGAGAATAGATTTACACGATGACTGAAACTTCCATCTGAGAAAGTGACACTCGAGCAGTCAGTTAATGCCTTGCAACGTGATGTCGTTTCCCGTGATTGAACGATGAGTGTGTGCTACCTAAGAAAAAGCCAATTACACTGCTGATCAGTCTCTTGCGGCTGAACGGTTATGTATTCAACCATTGGCCGGAAGGTCGCCAGTTCTTCATCTCCTACTGGAGTGAGATGCGCACTCCTGCTGACTCGCGATAAGAAGGAAAAACCTATAAACTGCTTCTTCGTTTTACAGCGTAGATTTGTACCACTGACAGGATGAAAAAATCCATTCCAAAGAAAGAGATTTGCTAGCGTATTGTAGTTATGCCACAATCGTTGTATAGAGTGCAGGGGTGCTGAATTGCTTCACTAGGAATTCCGGAAACAATATGCTATTAAGGTGTGGTGCAATTAGCTTCAAACGAATCCTGGGTCTGGGCAGACGAAAAATGCAGCTTTTGGGTGGAAACTTATGATTAGTCTTCCTCAATTGGCTAATTCCCGCCAACGGGACAACCGGGCTAACCACATAGTACGAACTCTTACACAAACAGCAATAGGGCCACACACCTTAATCACACAGAAGAGGTCTGGTTCGAGACTTAGTGCGCCTGTTTCTAAATCAGTGTACGGTAGATATTGATGCACCTCGGGTGGAAATCATATCATTATATTGCACGCGAAATACAGATACCAGGGTAAGTAACACGGTGGGGCTCAGTCGGCCACGGTACCAACATATATTTCATCAGGCCATGGAATCGATTCGAGTGTTGAAGTCGTTCAGTTAGAAACAAAAATAATGCATCCAGCTGGCTTGTTCCAAGTCAAGTGATTGCAATGTTCAGTTGTAACGGGGCTACTAACAAATCATTTCAGGTTAGCAAACGGCCACCAAATAGTTATTGGCAGCGATTCTGAAGTGACTGGCCAATATTAAACTGAGGCGAAGCACACCAGGACGATGCCCTCTCAGCTAAATTGTCTGACGGATTCGAAGAGTGGTGAAATATTTCCGAAAGTTTTTGAAGTTTCGTAACACCACAACCGGGGTGATGTTCTCAGACCTAATCCCTGCACTTCCAGGAGGAAGCGGGCCATATACGTATAATTTATCTCAGCGTACCAAAACAAAAATACCAAAACATAAATAAATCAATAAGTGAGTGTGTATGTGGTTGGAGGATAAGCTTTTCAATCTTGAGTTTTCTAACTATATGAAAGAATGAGGCTAAATGGTCTTTGAACGGATGGATTTTGCTGGTAGCATAAATGTGGACTTTGGTTGGAACAAGTTCTCACACCCAACAAAAACTTGTCCGTGGTCACGAAGGTTCGTGATTCACGTCCTCACCGAATTTCATCAAGTCAGTGAACTTTGTTTACCGTTCCGCTGTCGAACCACTGTATAATGTATGGGGCAGATGATGGAGGATGACGTCAGATGGTGTAAAGTAGAATAATCTGCTCACGTCACTCAAGGAGAGTCTGATGCATATGTAAGCTCGCTTTTCCTTGCGTTGCCACGTTTTATAAGGCACAGGTCTATTCGTATCGAATGGTTTCTTTCGATCGAAACATCGGTTTTCCAAGTGTGCTAGAATTTTACCAAGCTACCCACATGCCCTGCATGTGATAGAAGGAATGTTGTTTAGCCGGTAACACAACACTGTCATTTAAATTGCGTCGAACTAACTAGTTTTCGATCGTGATGCAATGCGCTTTTACGTGATCCAATACCGTCTCATAACAAGCCACTCCCTCCGACGTTGGCAGTCGATGTACCTTGGCAGGTGCCCAGATGTTGTATTCATGATAAAACTGTCGAAAGCTACTGCCACTCCACTCATTTACCATCGAGGCGTACTGTAATGAATGATTGAGCAAAGCCCTTTGGCTCCTTCTAAAATGATTTAGTGACACCGTAAACATCCATTTTTCTTATATTCAAACTGAAATGCTCTTAGTTCACTCAAAAAAATTTCGGCCATTTTCCAGCAGGAAATCCTAAGTTCATACGTGAAGGCCTTGTGTCCTCCGTGAATATGATAGATCCTAGGAATCGAAACATCAACTGAATCACTACGAACTACTTACCCTTTTTGAGTAGGTGATTAAGGGGATCAATTTGAATACTCAGTCTCGGGCGTCGTGTAGTTCACTTCAGATTACTTCATTGATTTCAGACCCACACTGGTGCTGCCATTGAGAGAAGATATCACATTGCTATTGTCAGCGGTTTTGTGCTTTAATCTGAAAAAAGATTCACACCGGCATACACATCATTCGGGAAGTCTCCTTCTTACCGCCACGCTTGTCTCGATTGAATTCTTTCTGGCACACCCGAACACTCGTTTTCTTACTCTGTCGTTGTGGATTTACAGACACCAGTTTACATCAGCTTTGGTTCGGAGATGACGGCTTTTGATCGAGGACTCAAAGTCGTTTTACGTTATTTACCCCCAGTGGGCGTCTGACAGCTATATAAA